ATATATATATATTTATAGACATAACTTCCAAATTCTGTTCATCTGCTGAAAATTGATTTTTAGACCTGACATCTTTTGTCTTTGAATTGTCTAATTTCCTCTAAACTACATAAACAAACTACACTGCCATGGTCGAGTACAAAACTGAGCAAAAATCTACAACACAAAAATTGTCTCCTTAGAAGCAAAATATACACCTTAAATAAAAAAAWTTAAGTTTTAAACCACCTCTAAAGGCTCAAAATATTACACTTCACTCACTGTGTAAATATTCCAACACAATATGGACTAAAAGGAAATCTTTCTCAAACCATCTGGAGGACTAATACCACCAGTCACCACTTTAAGACCCCCTCCACAGTTTTGCGCCAGTACACATATTTACTTTTATAATTAGTTTCATAAACTCTTGAATGTAGATTATCTTAATCATGTAATAAATAAGTTAAACTGCTCCAAAATATAGACAAAATTATTCTGTTAAATCCAGAGACAGAAATATCACTTTCAAAGCTGAAAACAGTAAATACATTTTTAGAAAAACACCTAAAATATATCTCAGAATATATATAGTGAATAAACAAATGCATACCTTTAAGAAAATGCAGAAAGACGAGTACCACGAAGTACCAGGAGTCCTTTTGTACAGCTTCCATTTTGCCTCACAGAGGGAGAATGAAAGCTGCATTGATGAGACGAGTGGTGAATTGCCCGAGCTGCACTTCCTGTTAGCTCTCTGGCTACAGAGAAACTCTTAAGCTTCTGGGGCGCACTACATGAKAGCCCACTCCACACAGAGGCTGTGCTTTGTCTCTGAGATTACAGAAACCCGTGAMAAAATACTGCATACTGGATTTAATAATGTCATGGTTAACATTTTAAACCACCGTTTTTTTTCCAATTACAGATGTGGGGCTGTGGGTTTGAGCCCAGGTGGCRTCAGGAAGGACGTCAGATGTAAAACCATTGTGAAATCTACTGCAAGAGTTGGCTCGCTGTGGTCACACTTAAGATAGGTAGCAGACAAAGGAAAACCATTTGTAGTGAACTCAACTTTAGAGGTGTGAGTGTGAACCCATCTGAAAATATCGGTGTGAGTTTCACAAATCTTCCACAGGTTGAAGAAAAGGCAGCTGAACACCTCAAACACCACAACAGATGAGTCTAAAGCCACACGGCCTCGTCTCGAAAAGGGAGAACATGCACAAGAAGAGCTGACACTACATTAATATTAAAAATAACCAAACAAAATCACTTTATTAAATATAAAACATGATACAAATCTATACAAAAACATTCATTAACTTCAGCTTTTCAGCAGCTGGGAGAGGTGCTGTAGGCACTTCAGCAGGTGACCACTCAGAGGTTCCTGATTCTTCTCTGCATCTACAAATAAAATTAAACAGTAATCATGCAACCAGCGAAAAACATTTTGTATAAATATAAAGCCAGCACGCTGTCAGGGTAAACAAATACGTGCCTTTTTTGAAGAAGGAATGCGCCTCCTCGATTTTCAACCGAACCGAAGGACACTTCAGGGACGTTTTCGCCTTGAAGAGAAAGAAACGATAAGCAGGTTAGGAAAAGTGAGTTGTTTTGTTTATTAAAATTAAACATAACAGGGCGGGGGTGGTGGGGGGATTGATATAGGAAGACTTACAAAAACATTTTACTCTGAAAGTAGGTGTGCATGTGTGTGCGTGTGTGTGTGTACCCTTTGATTGTTGTGAAGCAACGCCCACAGTGCAGACGCTCCTAAACAGCAGGTTTCCATTTCTCTACTTTCCAGACATGTCAGCAAAACTTTCATGGCTTTGTCTGGACAAAGGAGACAATCAGTAAAATCCAGAAGTTTAGAGTTATTTGATTCTAATATTGTCCTGAAAGATTTTGTCTATTCAAGCATTTAAAATAGTTGTTTAAAGGGTACTATTTATCACGCTGCTTTATAAAAATCTTGTTTTTTTTTATAGAGAAACTGATTACATACTGACATAAAAACTGCTACCATCACAACTATGTTAAAGTTTTAGTTGTTCAGTCTAAACAAAGAAAATAAGTTCTCAATGTGGTCCTAATCGAGTTGAATATATACTCCAAGCCCCCTATTTACAGGAAGTTTCAAACAGGAAACGACATCGTGACAGTTTCCACGCACCTGGACCTGCAGCAGCCACCTGCGGCTCACTCTGCGAGGGTGTTTGTGGGGGGGGACCAAAGACAATCTGTGTTTCGGTCTCAGCAGCTTCCTCTGCTTTCATCACCTGACATGTCTGAGATTATTTATCTTCTCATAGCTGCAGAGTCGATCATAAAATGCTAAACTGAAACTCCCAACTGTAAATCTGACACTAAACTATGGAAATAATTGCCTTTATGTGCATTTTTGTCTTGATTTGTCCAAGAAATGTAAATTAACACATTCATTCTGCTCTGAAGCTGAAAGTTCCAGCATCAGCTATTTGAATTATGAAACGTAACATGCATATTTTACTAAATTCCTTCTCTGTTTGGCTCTGGTGTAATGATCCTGAGTCGATAGCTGACAGCTTAATGTAGCGACGKTTTGTAGAACCATGTGGAAATAATTATAAAACCCCAGGTTGTTCAGATCCAGAGTGAATCTAATTTTTTAACACAAAAATGAAATATAACAATAAAACCAATGAAAGCTGGAGTTTAGTGCAGCTGGCAACCTCGACACATAAAACAATTTTGAAGTTTGAAGTTTGAAATGTTGCTAAATACAAATATTTATTTAACTTAAAGTAAGTAATTCTAAAATTTGACTTCAGCTTTAATTACCACTGGCGATGACGTGTGATTTGTTGGAAGAGCAGAAGCAGAGGTTGTGAAGGGCGAGCAGCGCGTGTCGCCGATCCGGCGCCAAATCAGCCAGCAGCTCCAAGGCCCCGGTCACCTTAAGGATACTCTGCTGGCCGTCTTCTGACGACGACAGACTGACCAGCAGTCTGAGCCAGAGGGACAGGGGGCTCGCGCCACCACCTGCTGACCCGGCCTTCGCACCAGCCGCTTTGGGCACTGGCACCGAGAGGAACGCTTGAAGAAAATTACTCTGAAAAAAATCACAAGAAAACACARGTTTTTAGCATTAAATGAACACAATGTCAGCTAGTGAGAGACATCTCTGCAAATACCTTCTGCAGGAGGCATCTGCAGTCGCGCGCCACTGTCAGGTTAACCAGGAGAGAGAAGGCCAGGCTCTGGATGAGGCTGCTGTCGGAGGCGAGCGAGGTCAGCTTCATGATCGAGTGCATCAGAGAGCTATTAGAGGAGCCTTTAGAACCTGGAACMCCACTGGGGCTGCTGCTGCACAGAGAACTGCATGCTGGGAACAGAAAACAAATATATTTCATCGTAATAATCCCCTTAAAGCAAAYATGGACAAYRACGCAGCAGTAACTGACAGTAACTTGTGTAATCACACATCACAGAATATCACCATTCGTTTTGTGTTAATGCATAAATCAATGCGTTACACCTCCTCCTTCCTTTAAATATGATCCTTTAGAAAATAAGAATACGAAGTGTTCATATTAGCTGCTAAACCGGTCATATTCTCTTCATCATAAAGCTCTATAAAAGTCTTCAACAGCTTGTTAAAGCAAGAGAATTCAGTCATGCAGACAAAACAACAGAAGGTGGTATAGTAGTCATTAAAACACTGATACGGTATACAGCCAGTATACATCTAAATACTGGCATCCAGACCTATAACAACCGTAGCAAACCCGCCTTCAATTATCTCTACCCACTTCTTCCTTTCAGGGTCACTGGTGCACATATCCAGCAGTCACAGTGTGAGGGGCGGGGTACATCCTGGACAGGTCTCAGGTCCATCACAGGATCACCTTTCACTCTCTCACATTTAGGGACAATTTAGAGTTACCAGTTAACCTAAAATTCACGTTTTTGGTCTGTGTGAGGAAACCGTAGTTCCCGGAGAAAACAGGGAGAACACAAACTCTACCCAGAAAGGTCCCTGGTTGGGATTCGATCTGGCAACCTTTTTGTTGAGAGAAAGCAGCTCTACAAACTGAGGCACCGTGCTGCCTAAAAGTGAACAATGTGAAGAATGAAGTCTGGTTTTGTTCYAATGCTAAAACAAAAGAAGGATTTCCCAAGAAAAGATGACACGTTAAGACAGATTTTGCCTCTTAACTTCAAAAATATACTTTTGTATTCCTACCATCGTCACACTAACAAGTCACAAAGATCACTATCAATGTCAAAGTTTATATATTWTATAGCACATTAAAACAACAAAAGCTGACCAAAGTGCTTTACAGTCCAGTCAAGACAGGTATCAAAAACAAAACAAATAATTGATACAAACAAAATGCAGAAACATATTGTAAGAAAAAGRCATCAGCTCTATCTGAACCTCAAACTCTGTCTTCATCAAAAGCAACCCCCCCACCCCAACAAAAAAAAGGTTTAAAAGCCTCAACAGACTCAGCAGACCGAATATGAAGAGGTAGACTGTTCCACAGCTTTAGAAAAGCCCGGTCACCTCTGGATTTCATTTTGGATCTAGAAGCATCTAAAAGAAAGTGGTGGATGCCAATACCACATCGTAGCTTTAACAGTTTTTTTTTAGGTTTATAAATGTTTTGGTCACATTAAAAATGCATTTTTAAATTGGTTAAGTAACATAAAAGAATGGCCCACCAACTAACATTAAAAAACAGCAGCTGTTCCAAAACAAGTTCTAAAAAAAATAAAAACACGATTAAACCTGAAAACTGTGGTTTTCAAACTATTCATCTGGAAGCTGCAGTAAYGTTCTGTGCTGTTCAACCAGTCGGCTTCTTTTAGCATCAAGCAAAGCTCAGAACAACAACGTTTCATTGTTGGAACCGCTCGCTTCGTTCTGTTTATCTTAAAGCTGGGTAGCTTGGCAGCCTGATACAGCAGCAAAAACACAGACTGGGCTCTTGGCTTGCACCGCCGTCTGCCACTACACCAAACCTCTACATGCATGGCTACATGTAGAGCAGGTTTTCAGGTCAAGCAAGATGATCAAACTCAAAGAGGACTACAAGCATTATAATGGGAAAGGCTAACTGAGAGTTAGTTTAAAACTTAACGTCTAATGGTGACAAACAATAAAGAAGTGTTTCCAAAACATAAAACATCTGACTCATTAATTTTTCTTATTTCAACTTTAACTGACTCCTGGAGGAGGATGACCATGGTCCTCCATCACCAGCTGGGAGGGAAACTTTTTTTTTCTCAGTAGCTTCAGGCTACAGCTACATTTTATTATGCAAAGCTAACAAGAAATGCTAATAGTTAGCAAACAGGCAGTTTGACTAAATGTTTTGCTATTCATCCAAGGGGCTTTCTTAAATCAAAATAGTTGCATTTCTCCCCCTCTTCTTGTAATCTGAACACATTTAAATCTCTCTCCCTCCTCTCCTGACTGAGTTTGTGGTTGGGTGTTGAACCCATAGACTTGAATACAGATCACTAGACCGAGCCCTGCCCATACTGTCCACTGGTAGCGTCTGTGACAGCATGGAGGAGCAGAAATGGCATCCAAAAAGGGCAACACCTCACAGCCTCCATAAAAACTAATAGATAAACAACAAGCTGAACCGGATCTGTTTCACAGATTATCTGTCATGTTTTTACAATAAATTAATAATTATGTTAATTTTATTCAATAATCATGTAAAACAGCAGATTTATACCAGAAAAATATATAATTTATAAGTAATGATCTAAACCAGACCTGAAGTCAGCCTGTAAC